GAGCTGGTCAGAGGTGAACCGGTTGAAGAGCTCGTTGAGATTCCCATCGATCCCACCAACCCAGTGAAAACTGTTAGGATCGGCAGCCAACTATCCCCCCAAGCTAAGGCCGACCTTACTGCCATTCTAACCAAGCACAATGATGTATTCGCCTGGACTCATTCAGATATGCCAGGCATCGACCCCTTTTTCATAACCCATCGCCACAGTATTGAACCTCATTTTCGACCTTACCGCCAGAAGCAGCGCATCTTTCATCCAGAGCGCAATACTCTTATAGCCGCAGAAGTCGACAAGCTCCTTGAGGCCCAATTCATAAAAAACGTCGACTACCCTAAATGGTTGTCAAACGTGGTCCTAGTTCGCAAGAACAATGACAAATGGCGACTCTGTGTCGATTACTCTGATCTAAACCGAGCTTGCCCAAAAGACAGCTACCCTCTTCCACGCATAGATCTGCTGGTCGACGCCACAACCGGTCATCAAATGCTCAGCTTCATGGATGCTTTCTCTGGCTATAACCAGATTTTCATACACCCGTCCGATCGAGAAAGTACGTCCTTCATTACCGACCGAGGTACCTACCACTACCGAGTAATGCCATTCGGATTGAAGAACGCTGGGGCCACCTACCAACGGTTAGTCAATGCCGTCTTCCATCACCAGATAGGTCAGAACATGGAAGTATACGTCGACGACATGCTAGTCAAGAGCAAACTCTCCACTGATCATCTGGCCGACCTACGGGAGACCTTCGCCACCCTACGCAAGTACCAAATGAAGCTCAACCCAGAGAAATGCGCCTTCGGCGTAGGATCTGGGAAGTTTCTGGGTTTTATGGTCAGTCAGCGGGGCATTGAAGCTAACCTTGAAAAGATCAAGGCCTTGATTGAGATGCAGTCTCCCAGGATGGTCAAGGAGGTTCAAAGGCTCACTGGCCGAGTTGCAGCCCTCAACTGTTTCATTTCCCGCGCAACAGATAAGTGCCTACCGTTCTTCAAAGTTCTTCGGCAAACTTTTGAATGGACAACTGAATCTGAAGAGGCTTTTCAGCAGTTAAAGCAGTGCATGGCCAATCCACCCCTCCTTTCACAAGCGATTACGGGTGAGTCCCTCTTTCTCTATTTAGCCATCTCAAGCACCGCAGTCAGTGCTGCTCTTATCAAGGAAGACGACTCTGTCCAACGACCGGTCTACTACATCAGTCGGGCTCTCAGGGGAGCTGAGCAGAATTACCCCCTGTTAGAAAAATTATCGTTGGCCTTGGTCACCGCCTCCAGACGACTCCGTCCTTACTTCCAAGCCCATTCCATAGTGGTCCTCACTGACCAACCCTTGAAGAAAGTCATGCAGCAACCAGAACTTTCCGGCAGACTTATGCAGTGGTCTGTGGAACTCAGCCAGTTTGACATCTCTTACCGGCCTCGAACAGCAATTAAGGGATAGGCTATCGCCGACTTCATCTTGGAATTCACTAATCCTATCCTAACCACTGCCTTTCCACCCTTGTCAGCTCCCATCGAGCCAGAAGACCCTCACTCTTGGACTCTCAACGTCGACGGATCATCCCGCAGGCAAGGTAGTGGGGCTGGCCTCATTCTCACCAGCCTTGAGGGTGGTTATTTCAAATGTGCGCTTCGTTTCTTGTTTGAGGCCAGTAACAATGAGGCCGAATATGAGGCACTGATAGCAGGCCTTCGCCTAACCAGGGACATTGGTGTCAGCAACATCCGAGTACTCAGCGACTCTCAACTCATAGTCAGACAGATCACGGGCGAATTCGACGCCAAGGAGGGCACAATGCGGACTTATAGGGATCTTGCACTTCCCCTAGTTCGCCTCTTCAACACCTTCCACATCAAGCACATTCCTCGGGCAGAGAACTCTAAGGTAGATGAAATGGCCCAGTTGGCTTCCGCAGACCAGTCCACCCTCAGCAATGGTGTCCCACCTCGAATACCTATCCCACCCCGCCATTTCCCCCGACCAGCATGAAGTACAATTCCTCCAAAATAAGCCCATTCCTTGGGCGTCGAACATCTTTCGATTTCTGATAGCGGGGGAACTTCCAGATGACCACTAGCAAGCCGCCAAAGTCAGGGCACGATCGTCCAATTACATCCTTGTCGACGGCATCTTGTACAAATGGGGTTTCTCGCGCCCCTATCTGCGGTGCCTCAATCCGACTCAAGCAACTTATGTGATGCAAGAAATTCATGAGGGGATCTGCGGCAATCACTCGGGCGACAAGTCTCTTGCCCACAAGATACTCCGTACTAGTTATTTCTGGCCCACTCTTAATCGCGATGCGACCGATTTCGTGCTCAAATGTGATAAGTGTCAACGTTTTGCCAACATCCCCCATGCACCCCCTACAGAGTTGATCACACTTTGCAGCTCTTATCCGTTCGCCAAATGAGGGATCGACTTGGTCGGTCCGCTCCCTACTGGCCGAGGCCAGACCAAGTTCGCGATTGTCGCCATTGATTATTTCACCAAGTGGGTAGAGGCAGAACCCCTTGCCACCATCACCGAGTGGAACACAACCAAGTTCATCTGGCGGTCGATCGTTTGTAGGTTTGCCATTCCTCAGGCCATCATCTCTGACAACGGTAAACAATTTGACAACGCCAAGTATAGGAAGTTCTGTGCCGACCTCCAGATTCAACCATGTTTCTCATCCCCTGGTCATCCCCAGGCCAATGGCCAAGTTGAGGTCACCAACCGTTCTCTCCTGAAGATCATCAAAACTAAGCTAGAAGCTGCTAAGGGACTTTGGGCTGAGGAGCTACCAAATGTGCTCTAGGCTTATCGAACTACAGCTCGGACTCCACTAGGGAAACCCCTTTCTGCTTGACATACGGCGCTGAGGCGGTTATCCCAGTAGAAGTCGGTCTGCCTACTCCCAGGGTTTCACATCCGGATCCAGCACTAACCGAAGAACTCCGTCGAGCTGACCTCGACCTAATTGAAGAACTCAGAGAGACCACCGTTGTCCGACTGGCCTCATACCAACAGAAAATGAGAATACATTACAACCGCAAGGTCCGACCAAGGGAGTTCGTTGTAGGGGATCTTGTCTTGAGAGAAGCAACTCTTGCTACCAAAAATCCGACTGAGGGTAAATTGGCAGCCAAGTGGGAGGGACCTTACATCGTGAAAGCCCGACCCCGACCAGGCACTTATCGACTTCAGGACATGGAAGGTCGAGACCTCCCGCACCCATGGAACGCCGAACACCTTAAGCGTTACTTTCAATAAGCTCCTATTTTTGTATTGCTCAGTTATTGTATTTTCTTTTAAGGAAATTCACACATTCTTGATATCCCCCTACGCAATGTAACTTCTTGATTCTATATCTCAGCTATCTATGTATTGTCTCAGTAACATTCTTATTTGCAGCATTAAAAGCCTCAGCCAGATTGAGCACTGAAAGCCTCAGCCATACTAAGCACTAAAACCTTCAGCCAGACTGAGCACTGAAAGCCTCAGCCAGACTGAGCACTAAAAGTCTCAGCCAGACTGAGCACTTAAAGCCTCAGCCAGACTGAGCATGAGCTGCCTCGGGCAGTCCGACCGTTAACACCCTCTGCCAGACCGAGCGCTAAAAGCTCCATCCAGACTGAGCGTGAAGCACTCATCCAGACCTAACATGTAGGGCTCGGTCAAAACCACCCATGCAAAACTTCATACTTGTGGAATTCACTAACACACTTAGTCACAATTCCTGGTCCAACGGTCTTTTCAGCGGAGATTCACTCGTTTGTGCGTTATTGTCACACGGTATATCAAAGCGTTTTTGGTGATTCCAATTTTATTAAACATTTTTAAATGTTGGCGAGCTGCTTCGGCTTTGTGTGGTACGTTTCCGTTGAGGATTTTCACGAGCTAGTCATCTTTCCTTAGGTTCAGCGTTTGATAACTTTCCACAAGCCTTATCATTGTTATACATATATTTTTAAAATTGTGCAGCTCTGCATTGTGGTGGAGGTTCTTAACTTCACTCTGCATTGAGTCCTTAATTACAAGCTTCAATTTCACTCTTATTAACAAGGAGTTCTACACACACTTCGCCCAGCCTCATTTATCTCAGTCCACAAGCAGAAATAATCAAATAACAAACACAACTGAAATTTTATTCGTTCACAACTTTGTACAAAAGTTCATTACAACAATTCATGTACAAAAGTTCATTACAGCAATTCAAAAAAAAAAAAAAAAAAAAAAAAAACAACAAAGTATCTTTTTCTCCTTCCTCCCCAGTTACTCCTCCTCACTGGAGAGGAGGTCTTCTTCTTCAATGCCTTTATCCAGGGGGGTTTGGGCCATATCGTCTTCGCCAATCGTTACACTACTAAGGTCTAAGTCTGGGAACAGCTCTTCAGCTCTATGTTTGAACATCTTCCAGCCACTGTCCTAGTACTCAGCCATTTCGTGCTTATAAAAGTCTGACTGCTGGAAGCTCTTAATAACTTCTGCTTCAGTTCTGCCTCCAGCGGTCGTCCTCGATGGGCCAGACCCCTCAGATTCTTGCCTAGCCAGGCTACTCGCGACCGCGGCATCAACCGCCGTCTGAAATTCGACAGACTCTTTGAATTGCTCCACTGCTGCGACGCACAGATCGGGATAAGCCGCCCTTTCAGAGGCTGCCTTTGCCCTCTCTTCGTCCAGCTCTTTCTGCCGGGCCGCCCTTTCCGACGCCGCCTTTGCCTTTTCCGCCTCCAATCCTTCTTCAGGCTCTCCTTCTCCGCCGTCGTCTGCACTATCTCTGCTTTTAACTCCCTCTGAAGCCTCCCTTTCTCCTCTACTGCCTTGGCGCGCTCGCCCTCCAGTTCCCTCTAGAGATTGCCCACTTTGCCATTGGCTTCATCTTTTTGCCTGACCAGCTCTTCATTACTGCTCATAGCCTCTTTATGTCGCTCGACCGCGACGGCGCAGGCTCTTTGGGCCTCGTCCAACTTCTTCTGCTCGCCAGCAAGTTGGAACTCGAGCGACACAACCTGGCGGCGTGTATCCTTCAGCTCCGCATTAACCGCTTGCAGCTCAGTGTGGGCACTCTCCCAACTTGTACTCTTCTTCTTTAACTTTGCAAGCTGAGCCTTGGCCTCATCTACCTTGAGTTTGACAGCCCTCGCCTTCCTCAGTAGGGCCCCTACTAAGGTGGTTACCTCCATTTGAGCGGAGTATAACCCTCTTAGCAGTTCAGCCTCGTTGAATTTGGAGACCAAGCGCAAGGCTGCCTGCCCCTGTCCTAGCTGGGCCTTCTTTTCCCTCCAGCCTCCCCGCCACCGCACGAGCATAGTAGATCGCCGTGGTCGCACCGACTCCTCCTTCTTGAGGTGCAAGATCCCCCTGGGGCTGTTTCTCTCTCCTTGGCCTAGGGCCAGCAGCCTCATCCTCCACTTGCCTTTTGGGGGAGGCCTTTGCGACCCCTGCGGCGATCGCTGCCACCACTGGCACCACCTCCATGCCCTCTGAGGCAACATCCACCACTTCTGGGCCACCTACCCTTCCTGGGGCCCCCTCCACTTCTCCCCCTTTAGCCCCCTCGGCCGCACTGGTTTCCTTCACACTTGCCTCCCTCCTCCTCTTCTGGGCAGACACTTCCTCACTCCGACTCACCCTTTTCTTCTTCTTCCCCACGCCCAACGCCTTCATCTCCTTTAAGGACCTCTCCTTCAAAGGGTCTGTTGGGGACGGCCGCGGCATAAAATCTCCTAAGTTTTTCTCTTCCAAGGGTTTGGGGCGAGGTCGAATCCTCTCCCTCGCAACCGGTTTTGGTGGTCGGTCGACCTGGGACTCTTTGAATTGTTGGGCTTTAGCAAGGATGGCCTGATCCTCCGCCTCTTGAGCCCTTCTCCTCGCCTCCAACTCCGCTCGGTCGAGGTCCCCACTACTTGGCTTTGGACCCAACCCCGCCTCAAACAATGCCAACGACTGAACGAGCTCGTCTCATTTGGCCTTTTCTCTCTCCCTTCACTCCTTCACCCTCTTCACCCTCTTCTCCGCAGCTGCCCCCAGTTTCGGCTCCACAGACCTGATGCGTACTTTCCAAACGGTGTGCGCTCCAAGCCCCCCATTGATAGACACGTAGAACCGTCGCGGTCGCCACCCCTTGATCGACGATGGCAGCCCCGCCACCAACCCCTTCCCCACTGCTGCCTGCGGAGTGACCCACGTCTCCTGCTGCCCCGAAGCCTTATAACACGCAAAGAATTCGTCTACCGTCATGGCCTCCCCTCCATTTGCCTTCGGCCACACACTTGCACAGGCCAGCAGGATCTTCCATGCATTGGGCATTAGTTGGCCCGGTGCTACCTCCAGACGGTTAAGCACATCCACTACCACTTGCAGCAGTGGCAACCTTAGTCCACCCTTCAGAGCTTCCTCATAAAGGGAAAACCCTCCTGGCCTGGGGTCAGATGGCCTTTCCGTTGATGTCGGCAGCAATAACTCCACTTCCACAGGGATCTGGTATTTTTCACGGATAGCCTCCAACTCCGCCGCAATAATCGTGGATTTGTCAGCCTTCGTGTGCCAATGATCTGGTTCCGCCTGGCTGATTGGCTTTGGAGCTGCTATCATGGTGGAACCATGGGATCGCACCACCAACTCCCCCACCCTCTCCATCCTATATTGCTGTGCTAATTCCACTGCATCATCATCACCAAGTGGATCCACCTAGCCAGGGACATTGGTGTCAGCCACATCCGAGTGCTCAGCGACTCTCAGCTCATAGTCGGACAGATCACGGGCGAATTCGACGCCAAGGAGGGCACAATGCGGACTTATAGGGATCTTGCACTTCCCCTAGTTCGCCTCTTCAACACTTTCCACATCAAGCACATTCCTCGGGCAGAGAACTCTAAGGTAGATGAAATGGCCCAGTTGGCTTCCGCAGACCAGTTCACCCTCAGCAATGGTGTCCCGCATCGAATACCTATCCCACCCCGCAATTTCCCCCGACCAGCATGAAGTACAATTCCTCCAAAATAAGCCCATTCCTTGGGCGTCGGACATCTTTCGATTTCTGATAGCGGGGGAACTTCCAGATGACCACTAGCAAGCCGCCAAAGTCAGGGCACGATCGTCCAATTACATCCTTGTCGACGGCATCTTGTACAAATGGGGTTTCTCGCGCCCCTATCTGCGGTGCCTCAATCCGACTCAAGCAACTTATGTGATGCAAGAAATTCATGAGGGGATCTGCGGCAATCACTCGGGCGGCAAGTCTCTTGCCCACAAGATACTCCGTACTGGTTATTTCTGGCCCACTCTTAATCGCGATGCGACCAATTTCGTGCTCAAATGTGATAAGTGTCAACGTTTTGCCAACATCCCCCATGCACCCCCTACAGAGTTGATCACACTTTGCAGCCCTTATCCGTTCGCCAAATGAGGGATCGACTTGGTCGGTCCGCTCCCTACTGGCCGAGGCCAGACCAAGTTCGCGATTGTCGCCATTGATTATTTCACCAAGTGGGTAGAGGCAGAACCCCTTGCCACCATCACCGAGTGGAACACAACCAAGTTCATCTGGCGGTCGATCGTTTGTAGGTTTAGCATTCCTCAGGCCATCATCTCTGACAACGGTAAACAATTTGACAACGCCAAGTACAGGAAGTTCTGTGCCAACCTCCAAATTCAACCATGTTTCTCATCCCCTGGTCATCCCCAGGCCAATGGCCAAGTTGAGGTCACCAACCGTTCTCTCCTGAAGATCATCAAAACTAAGTTAGAAGCTGCTAAGGGACTTTGGGCTGAGGATCTACCAAATGTGCTCTGGGCTTATCGAACTACAGCTCGGACTCCCGCTAGGGAAACCCCTTTCTGCTTGACATACGGCGCTGAGGCGGTTATCCCAGTAGAAGTCGGTCTGCCTACTCCCAGGGTTTCACATCCGGATCCAGCACTAACCGAAGAACTCCGTCGAGCTGACCTCGACCTAATTGAAGAACTCAGAGAGACCACCGCTGTCCGACTGGCCTCATACCAACAGAAAATGAGAATACATTACAACCGCAAGGTCCGACCAAAGGAGTTCGTTGTAGGGGATCTTGTCTTAAGAGAAGCAACTCTTGCTACCAAAAATCCGACTGAGGGTAAATTGGCAGCCAAGTGGGAGGGACCTTACATCGTGAAAGCCCGACCCCGACCAGGCACTTATCGACTTCAGGACATGGAAGGTCGAGACCTCCCGCACCCATGGAACGCCGAACACCTTAAGCGTTACTTTCAATAAGCTCCTGTTTTTGTATTGCTCAGTTATTGTATTTTCTTTTCAGGAAATTCACACATTCTTGATATCCCCCTACGCAATGTAACTTCTTGATTCTATATCTCAGCTATCTATGTATTGTCTCAGTAACATTCTTATTTGCAGCATTAAAAGCCTCAGCCAGATTGAGCATTGAAAGCCTCAGCCATACTGAGCACTAAAACCCTCAGCCAGACTGAGCACTGAAAGCCTCAGCCATACTGAGCACTAAAAGCCTCATCCAGACTGAGCACTAAAAGCCTCAGCCAGACTGAGCACTTAAAGCCTCAGCCAGACTGAGCATGAGCTGCCTCGGGTAGTCCGACCGTTAACACCCTCTGCCAGACCGAGCGCTAAAAGCTCCATCCAGACTGAGCGTGAAGCACTCGTCTAGACCTAATATGTAGGGCTCGGTCAAAACCACCCATGCAAAACTTCATACTTGTGGAATCAATTGACACACGTAGTCACAATTCCAGGTCCAAGTCTTCACAACACTCTTTGCTTAGTCAAATTCCAAAGGCGTTTTTATCATTTTATTACATTTTAAATTTCACTCTGCATTGTGGAGTTCTTAAATTTCACTATCATTTTATTACATTTAAATTTCACAAGCCTATCATTTTATTACATTTTAAATTTCACTCTGCATTGTGGAGTTCTTAACTTCACTCTGCATTGAGTCCTTATTACAAGCTTCAATTTCACTCTTATTAACAAGGAGTTCTACACACACTTCGCCCACGCCTCATTTATCTCAGATCCACAAGCAGAAATAATCAAATGACAAACACAACTGAAATTTTATTCGTTCACAACTTTGTACAAAAGTTCATTACAGCAACTCATGTACAAAAGTTCATTACAGCAATTCAAAAAAAAAAGAAAAGAAAACAACAACAAAGTATCTTTTTCTCCTTCCTCTCCAGTTACTCCTCCTCACTGGAGAGGAGGTCTTCTTCTTCAATGCCTTTATCCAGGGGGGTTTGGGCCACATCGTCTTCGCCAATCGTTACACTACTAAGGTCTAAGTCTGGGAACAGCTCTTCAGCTCTATGTTTGAACATCTTCCAGCCACTGTCCTAGTACTCAGCCATTTCGTGCTTATAAAAGTCTGACTGCTGGAAGCTCTTAATAACTTCTGCTTCAGTTCTGCCTCCAGCGGTCGTCCTCGATGGGCCAGACCCCTCAGATTCTTGCCTAGCCAGGCTACTCGCGACCGCGGCATCAACCGCCGTCTGAAATTCGACAGACTCTTTGAATTGCTCCACTGCTGCGACGCACAGATCGGGATAAGCCGCCCTTTCAGAGGCTGCCTTTGCCCTCTCTTCGTCCAGCTCTTTCTGCAGGGCCGCCCTTTCCGACGCCGCCTTTGCCTTTTCCGCCTCCAATTCCTTCTTCAGGCTCTCCTTCTCCGCCGTCGTCTGCACTATCTCTGCTTCTAACTCCCTCTGAAGCCTCCCTTTCTCCTCTACTGCCTTGGCGCGCTCGCCCTCCAGTTCCCTCTAGAGATTGCCCACTTTGCCATTAGCTTCATCTTTTTGCCTGACCAGCTCTTCATTACTGCTCATAGCCTCTTTATGTCGCTCGACCGCGACGGCGCAGGCTCTTTGGGCCTCGTCTAATTCTTCTGCTCGCCAGCAAGTTGGAACTCGAGCGACACAACCTGGCGGCGCGTGTCCTTCAGCTCCGCCTTAATCGCTTGCAGCTCAGTGTGGGCACTTTCCCAACTTGCACTCTTCTTCTTTAACTTTGCAAGCTGAGCCTTGGCCTCATCTGCCTTGAGTTTGACAGCCCTCGCCTTCCTCAACAGGGCCCCTACTAAGGTGGTTACCTCCATTTGAGCGGAGTATAACCCTCTTAGCAGTTCAGCCTCGTTGAATTTGGAGACCAAGCGCAAGGCTGCCTGCCCCTGCC